TGTTGAAAAAAGTGAAAAAACAGCATAACTCCCCTAAAAATGGCCCGATCATGCTGATTTTCGAACTTGACCTGCGGATTATGAATATTCATCAGTTTTGTAAGTTTCAAGCCAAAAAGTAAACTGGTTTTCCACTTATCGTGTTATCGGTGCTGCATATATGCTAAAAAAAGTGAAAAAACAGCATAACTTCCCTACAAGTCACCCGATCATGCTGATTTTCGAAATCGTCCTGCGTATTATGAATATTCATCAGTTCTGCAGGTTTCAAGCCAAAAGATAAAACGGTTCTTCACTTATCGTGTTATCGGTGAAAGTGCACGACGGCGACGACGACAGACGCAGATGATGGCTATATGTACAGACACATCTGTGTCTGTACATAAAAATGGAATAATGCCTCGAGTCCATGTATGGGGACGGGTTAGGCAGCGCTTCGTGAGTACAAAAAAATTGCCCTTTACACCAGGGGAATGCATTTTGGTGGGGAAATCACCTTTTCTGGGCTGACATTCCGACTCATAAAAATGATTAAGTTACACGATCTGCCATTCACAAACTGAACATAACATATGTTTGCTTGTTTAATTTCCGCCTCGAAGAGCATTCTCAGATGATATAAAGCCATTGTGTGTCTGTGCAGTCTCCATCCTCCCAGCATTTCACATTTGATTTACTATTTTTATACTCAGTACGTATGAATGCTTCGATGCATTCCTCCTCAGGAAACGAGAATAACACAAAATGTTCAGATAGCCAATAAGTGACTCCAGATGGCACCGAATGGGTTGATTGAATATACCACAATGGCGTTTTCACTGGTTGCTCACCAACACGCTGCGAATCCAAGCAAAATCTTTATGGAAGAATGAGCACTGGTATGACCACAGCCCAGCTTTTACAAACAGTACGATACCAAACCAAGCAAGATCTTTCTGGTTGAAAGATATTTATGCCCCTGTATATGACAAAAGGGCGAGTCTAGAGGCGCTTCAAAACCGGGAGCTTTTTACGCAAAGGACGAAAAAATTTTTTTCAGACAATGATTCCAAATTGGAGCTTGATGAACACAGAAAATGAAGTTACTTTAATGACGCATAGATTACCATGAACAGCCTTTTTGTCGACAATATACGTGCAACAAAATGTAATTTGGCATAGCTAATAAATATATAAATAAACTAGTAAACTAATTGTGGATGAATTAGTCTGATTTTATTCGTTGTTACACTGCTGAGGAAAAATATTAGTTAAAACGAATTGCTTTAACGCACACACATACACACGCACACACACGCACACGAACTCCCAGAAGGAAGACCATTGCCTGTTAAAACTGTCCTAATTATAAAAATTGAGGATATTTGTCAAAGTGAAGAGCTAAAGCATTTAAATTGTTTCTTTTCAGGTGTTATTTATGATACTAGTGGATCATACAAGCCAGCGTTTTTAACCATGGCTGCGCTATACTTGGTCAATGCACTCCTGACTGCATCCATCATCCTTATCAACGGTGTACAGAAAAAGTTAGCCAAGGTCGGATCAGTGTGTCGGTAGTCGCCAATTGGGGATGCCATTCAAACACACAAGTTATTCATAGTGGGAAGTTCAACTTCGGCGCGTTCAATGCAAATTATAACAGCTTTTAAAGTTTCAATAGTCAAAATCAAAGAATGAAGAACTCTTTTATAAATTATTGTCTTTTATTTCCCTGTTAAATTGAAAAGACAGCACCATATGTCACCAAATGTGCACACAATTAGCAGTAGGTCGTGTGTCTAATGGTACATGTGTCTACCGCGTACTGCAATTATCTCATGTAGACGGCGCGACATACCTTCAGCAAGGCTATTGGCCTTTTGGTTGGATATTGTCCCATTCTTCCTGAAAAGCATGGCGAAGTTGTTCCTGATTATTAAGGGGTTGGTTCTCCTCTGCATAGCATACTCAATTCATGCCACAGGTGCCCAGTGGGGTTAATATCAGGGCAATGTTGTATTTGTGCAGCCATTTGACTTACGATGACGTCGACCCTGCCTCAAGCATTCAGTTAATGAAATGATAATAATAATAATACTTAACGATCCATACTATCATTGTTCAGCATTTGAAACCCAAGGACGTCGGCTTTTACAAAATGTACGCTAGTTACCACCATTATAGAAGAATGGTAATGTCGTAGTTAATCATGCGGATGGGCGTTTTCTTGGGTTGTGTCACATCTCTATGGTGTCTTGTATCCACAATTTGTCCAAAACTGATAAACCATCTATCAAATCATCGGACTGAAAAGAAGATTAAGCTGTCAAGCGAATTATAATTGTATTTTGACAACGTTCACTATCGTTGCCATACTTTTCAAGATTGACTTGATTGCTGTACGTATTTATCTAATCATTTGATTGCTGTCTCGGTACAAGAGAAAGTCCCAAACCTGAAAACGGTATATTTTCGCCCTAAATGAAAGATACAGCGACACCCGTAGGACACGCACTGCACTTCAAACAATCGTTTGTTCAACTGAACTTCTGCTCAGTACTTTTAATCTTTTAATAAATAATTAGAACTGTGGCATTATTTCTTTGATTTTATGAATGCCCCCTCCCCCACTCTCAATGATTGACGTTGAATGTAAATTTTCTAATTTTCACCGTCACAAGTAAAATTCACAAGTCAGTCTCAATTTACTGAGTGACTCAAAAAACACATTTGTTTACATAACATTACATTGGCATACAAGATGACCACGGCGCTTATTTTACTTGGTGAATTGTTTCAAAGGACCACTGACAGTCAAAAGGCCCCTTGTTACATTAAAAGGTGTCATATTTGTCCAACTAGTTATATTTCCAGGTCTTCTTTTTTCTCGTTTTCCAGGTATTTTGCCACGCAATATTGTTTGAATCAAGCTATATTCAACACCATGACGTACACGTATAAGGTGAAAAAGCCATCTAAGTTAATTTTCGATTATGGTCGGTAAAGATATTTTTCGCACGTGCCTTGAACATAATGTTTATATAACGATGCGGTAAATATCAGATTTGACAAAAATAAAAATATTAACAGCTACTGAAAAATATTAATGGGTTTCTGTCGATACCTCCACTGTTAGCTCGAGTGCTGAAATGTGCGGTCACCACAGGCGACACCTTGCGGAGGTAGCGTGCTCAATTTGTATTGTACAAAGGCCTTGTCACATTCTTTGTGTGTGTGTGTGTGTGTGTGTGTGTGTGTGCTTGTAAGTCCGGTTCAAGATTTTTATGCACTCTCACCACACTAATTCTAACCTGTACAAATCTTACGAAGGGCGGACTCACTATCATGCGGACCCTCAGTCACGCCGCATCATTTCACCATTCAGGCACAACTATCACAATGAGGTTTTCTCGACGAATGCATCGCATACAGCAACTCGATGATTGGGACTGCCACTGCAGAGATGTGCAGATAATTGTGCCCAACCGCATGTTTCAAAAACATATGTCTTTCCATTTAATGTTTTTTCTTTTTTGATGAAGTACAAGCTGATAGGTGTATTTTATGAGTTTCATGTCAATGAGCTTACTATATGGGTATTAACGGAGGGTTAGAAAGAACCACCTTTTTGGCTTAAAAAGAAATCCACTTGATTTGATTTTTTAAAGAAATCCACACAATTTGATTTTTTAACTGTCATTTCTCAAGATGATTGACTAAAAGGGCAAAGGGGACCACATTTTCAAATAAATAACCGAACGTCCCTTCGCGGTCTACAAATACGGAGCCGTAGGGAGCGAGGGTGGGGCACGGTGCACCCCTGCATGGAGGCATACCGGTATGACAGGAATGGTAGTCCGTAAGAAATCGTAGTCCATAATCTTTGTACAGGTGACATTCGGGCGATATATAGTAACCCCTGTACTACGACTAACCCTAAGCTGCATTAATGATATAGACCCCGGTGTAACGGAACTGAGGGTCCGTGTAACAGAAAGTCCCCCCCCCCCCCCCCACACACACACACATATACCTGTAGTTATAAAGGTTAGGGTCAGCCTGCCCTAAGTGGGTCAAAATCTAGAGCAAGGCTTTCCAGTACAAATGAATGGGAATCGAACACTCTATCATGGGGGACTCTTTGTCACGTTACACCAGACTTCCATTCCCAGGACTACCATTCATGTCAAACCGGCAAAATTGTATTTGCATGCGTGCGCTCCTACATGATTACATAAAAAAACGTCACTGCGCCGTCTGAGTTTAAGTCAACAAGCAATGCAATCTGATAATTAAGCAAATAAAGAGATTTCGCAGCTGCTCACAGAGTAGAAAAACGACGGATAATAAAGGACATTACGCTCTAGGTAAACCACAAGTCACCTTCTCTGTTGACATCACGCTAGAACTCTTATGTGATGGGTTAATAATTTTTACCGCTTTAGTGCGGTTAAACCTCCCCAAATTATCATGAAAAAAGTTACAGAATAAAATGGATTGTATAGGCCGCCGTAGTTATATAACTTTTTATTTGGAATATGAACTGTCGGTTTTATATATCTGGAATCAAAACACGTATTGTGTGCCCCGATTGTCAGAGACAGAAGAATCGAACCTGGATACATCTATATGGCGAAGTTATCACAAAATCAAATCCATTATAGAAATATATCGATCTCTTATCGTCTTAGCTTTCTAACCCCTGATAATACAGTATGCATGTAGTATTATGTGAGGAGAAAGAAGTGCCACCTATACATACCATACGATTACAAAACCAGTTATAGGACTGAAGTCAGTGTTATTAGGATTTCCGAGTCGATTTGGGTCTTATACAATGTGATTGCAGGCAAAGCCGTGATCGGAATTTTCCATCAGCTAGGTCAAATAGCTGGTCGGGGTTAGCCAATCGTTTAAAACATAGACAATGCCCACATGCCGCAAACTCCAGCGGTTCATATCGATATATATTAAATGCATATGCAAAAGTAGTACACGTCTCCCAGTTGTAAGGTGTGCATCTCCAAGTTATAAGAGTGTTTAGGTCAACGGTAAATTACCGACGATGTCTCTCTCTGTTTGTCAACCAAGAAAAAGAGTGGCTGTCATTGGAGCTGGAGCCGCAGGTGCGTTTTTAATAATAACATACATGGGCTTGTAAAGCTTGTTAAAGGAAAGAAACTAGAAATAGAAAATAAACATTATTTTAATCTTTCAAAAAGTGGGCATAGGTGGAACAATTGAAATGACATTATCTAATCTTCTATGTGCACAGTTGCGACTTTCTGTACAGGTATGATTACCTTACTGATCAACTAGGTAAATTTCCACTTTGAATTAATAATGTCAGTAAGAGGAGGGTCCTGCAACAAGTAGTACTTCCTCTCTGTCTGTGACTTAATTTTCTGTTTTGAACTGCTGTGGCCCTCACAACGTATTGCTCAAAGGGTGGTGTAAAAATGTCTCGTACCCTACGGTAGAAATACGGGTTAAAATGTGCCCTACTTTTTTCATTTCTTCCTACTCTTCTTAGTGGAAGGATTAAACTGAATGCTGTTATTCACAATTATATACTGTGAACTTGTTGAATTAAGATTCATATTTGAGCGAAGAGATACACAACTTTTCGACTCATCATTCTCCTAGGAAGAGAGCACTGTAATTTGAATTTTTCCGTTCATAAATATTCCGTTCTTCAGGCTAGATATTTGTGAGTGAAATGTAATTAAACGACATACTTTTACGCTGACTTTCCGAAATGAGTCCATTTTCTTAATGATGGAAGCTGTTAGATGCCTGGATTACACCAATGCAACAATGAATTCAGTTAGTCTTAATCATGGAACGCACGTTCTCTATTCCCTTTTTAATTTTCACTGACCCGTTATCCATCTTAAAATACCGCATTTTGTGTATGCTTTATGTAACTTCATTATATAACAGCGGTCCTACATTGTACTAAAATAACACTTTTCAGGCAAGACTAGTACTGTAGGTACAGGTTTGTGAAGGGTGTGTATTTTTACAACGCGTCTAGCCGGTTATCTTTCGTGACATAATGAAAAGTATCTTAATAATTCGGGAATTCTAGCATAATAAAATCCTCTTACTCAAGAATCATAGCTTGACCTTTCTTGTGCTCTGGCTTGGGGGACGTACAAAATGACTTTGGTCGCCCTACCTAGTGCGCGTGCACTAACTCCATGGAGACTCTCGCTGAATGCAATCAAATTAAAAGATCAACGCGCAGCCTGTTACTTCCAATGTACCAGTGTAATCATCAGCTTCTCTATATTTCACTCAACGCCATCTGCAAACAATTTCACCGATATGTAATCATTGCTTGTTGAATTAATACAATGAACGTAAAAATGTAAAAACCACCGTAGGAGTTACGAACATTTAGATAAGGACAGAAAGAATAAACTAAACTGACAAAAGAAATTTTTTGCTTCACTCAAATCACACAAGAGGCTGACTATATCATTTAATATTATAACTCTTTACGTATTACAACATAATTCCCAGGTCTTGCTGCCCTGCGCCACACAAGTTGCCGACCGGAAGTGTTCGAGGTCATGTGCTTTGAGCAGTCTGCGGTTATTGGAGGAACATGGGTGTACAACGATGACGTAGGGACGGATCAGTATGGACTTCCGGTTCATTCTAGCATGTATAAAAACCTCAGGTACACATGACTGTTTAAGCTGAGCAACACTTGCGTCAAAACATTCCTCATTTTAAGCTTCCCTACCCATTACAAAACAATACTAATGATGCGTACTGAACGTAACAGATATATTTTCTACTTTTCAAGATTGCGTTTGAGATGAGGTTAGGGTGGGGACGAACAATTTTATTTGAGATGTAAGCCCACCTCTTCTCCTGCCATATTCCCACCCGAATTAGATCTTTAGAATAGATTTTAAAACAAAGGCAAATGAATACATCTTTAAAAAAACAGCGTTTTCATAATTTTGGTATATTTTCCCATTTACCAATTTTAGCCCTCTAACAGATCGCCTTCTCGGCTTTTAAATTTTATCAATATTAATATCGCTCTTAATACGTTTATTCACAGAACCAATTTGCCGAAAGAAGCCATGGCCTTCCCAGATTTTCCGTTTGAAAAGGATGGGCGATCATTCCTTAAACACGAAGAAGTACTGGATTATTTGGAGAAATATGCCGACCATTTTAATCTCAAGAAATACATAAAGGTGAGATTTTAAAAAAAAAATCTACAATTTATCGGAAAATGTTTAAATGGTAAAGGAAATTATGATGACAATGAAAAATATACGTATGAAAAAATAATATAAAAGGAATATCAGATAGAATTCAGAATATTATGTCCGTTCTTAACTTTACCCAATAATGTTGAATGTTAATGTTCTAAAGTAAATATCAATTGAGTGTGGAGAAATGGACGTATTAAAGATTCTTTCAGTTTTTGACCGAAGTGAAGCACGTGGACCCAGTAAAGGATGGGCATGGTGGGGTCACGTGGAACATCAAGGTCAAGGACGTTAGGGTAGCAGACGACACTTCCGATTCATCTTTTGTAGCTGATGCTGTGATTGTTTGCAATGGGTATGGTGTTTTGGGGAGAATGCGTATTGTACAATGGGAATAAAAAAGAAAAAACATTCGCAAAATTAAATAGCGGACACTTGGGAACTAAATCATCATCTCCAATCTAAAAAAAAGGTTATATGTTTCTGTTTAAAATTTTTTGATGAAAATTCCTAACCAACCAGTTTATCTGCAGCGTCCTTTCACAGATTTTCCTGAACAAAGTGTTACGTAAAATGACAGCGAAAAATTAAATTGTTAGGAGCTGGAAAGCGAAATGATTAAAAGTAGAAGATTATCAAGATAACTCTGAAGAAGCTGGATAAATTAAAGGCACATTCAGAACTAGTTGATCCGCGGACTAACAGAACCGAGGATTAAACACGACCGGTCCACTTGAAAACTAATCCCCTGAAACGCACTAAATTGATTTCCCGGGGGGCGCTACGTTGCAAGCTTTTAAGTGAGCCGGCTACATTTGGGCCATGGATCTGTTAGTCCGCGGGTCAACTTTGGTTGCAAATACATTTTAAGTGTCAAGCACTAGTTAGACCAAAATCATACTTTCAGGAGAGGTCCAATGAAAAATATGCGATATTGTCTAATAAGCTTAAAGAGAGGCACGTGCCAGCAGACCCCCCCTTCCCTGGAACCCCAATTGCAGATAAATTCAGAAAGTTTAAAAAAACTAAATTTTCAATGACTTTCATATATTGATAAATTGATGCAACATGTTCACGACGACGATAGGGCCTACAGACTCTGATGTTGGTTATTGATGTATGTAGATCTTTCAATGTTAAGTCAACTTACACAAATGGGGACTTGATGGGAAATGGATTTTAGATGTCTTGCTTAAAATAAGTTAAGGTAATATTTTCTCTTGTTTAGTTTTGAAGACTTTAAGATGATCATTTTTACTATCTATTTTCAAATATAATTTTGCTTTTCACGTTTTGAAATGTTTTTTTAAAATTCATACAAGTTTCATCAACTGTACACCAGACACAATGTGTAATATTCATTATCCGTAGAATTATAAATTAGATTAAGTTATAAGGATTAAGGATTTGGGACTCGACTTCATGGTAAAATGCACTATAAACAGTAAAAATATGAAATGGTTAGTACAGAAGCTACCCACAAGCAATATTGCACGCGTGCAGAGAGAGAGAGAGAGAGAGAGAGAGAGAGAGAGAGAGAGATTGTGTTAAATCCCGAAAAAATGACTGTGTTTACTGACGTCTAACGTGGGACAAACGCAGAGTGCTATTTGATAAATTACGTGCTAGCAGACAGAGAGAGAGAGAGAAGCAGAGAAAGGGAGCGTTTATCATTAACTATGCTGTGTATGATAATGATAACTTATATTTCAGCCACTACTCAGTTCCGCTCATCCCAGATTTCAACGGATCGCTCACAAAATTTGAAGGTCAGGTGATCCACAGTCACGACTACCGTGTTCCGGAGGCGTTCGCCAATAAAGTCGTCTGCTGCGTCGGGTGCGGTGCCTCGGGTCAGGATATAGCCCTGGAGGTGGCGAGCAAGGCAAAGCAGGTCAGTATGAGGTTCATCCCTTTCAGACTATCACAGAATCTGCTTCATCTACATTTAAACGACGTTATGATTTACTCATCAGTAAAACCATTCACAATGACTGTTTTTCACAATGAACTTGCTGTAAGACAGCGAATATAAAGTATAAGATGGCCTCCGTATGAGACACCATATGATACACCTATTTTTGGGCGAATAAAACTAATTTCGTCCAAGGATTTATTTAGAAATATAACAAGGTGGGCCTGCATAGGAAAAATTTTAACTTTATATAAACCGGTAAACGTAACGAGTGGGAATCAATTACAGAAATCGGTGGGAAATATGGAAGGCTGTATGCACTGAAAAGAAAATACGCGGAAAATAGAGATTTGTAGATACTGTCATATCTGTTGAAAGTATGTATTACTGAATAATAGCCAAAATCAGTGAGAACGCATTTGTAAATTAAAACATGTCATATTTCAATGCCGTTACAGGTGTATCTGAGCCACAACAAACCTGCCCTGTCGACAAGTCTCCCAGACAATCTCAGCCAGACATCGGGCATAGTCGAGCTCACCGCCGACGGCGGTATGATGAAGAATGGACAAAAACTGGAATTCGATGTTCTCCTACTGTGCACGGGGTATCACTACAGCTTTCCCTTCCTATCAGCCAACTGTCACGTTAATATCGACGATGGCCGCGTGACACCGCTTTACAAGCATATAGTTCACACCGAGTTCCCTACATTGTTCTTCATTGGGATCTGCACCAAGCTCTGTCCCTTTCCACAATTCCACAACACCGTCAAGTTCATCTTGGCAACGCTGGACGGCACTTTTCAACTTCCACCCAAGGAAGACATGATGGCTGAAGAACAACGAGAATTTGAGTGGCGACTGAAAAAGGGATATGCCCACCGTCACGCTCACCTGATGGGCCCGTTACAATGGGACTATTTTAATGAGCTGGCCGACCTCGGGAAATATGAGCGCCTGCCCAAAGCTGTGCAAAATCTGTTTGACGAGATTCATCGCACCCGTTGCAATGATTTGCAAAACTACAGGAACATCAATTATCAGATCACCGGACCCGAGACTTTTGAAGTGCGTTATTAATTTAAGCAATGGAAAGGTCATTCAATTTAAAAAATACTAAATTTAAATGCCAATTACATCGGGTTTTGGAGAGAAAAATATACAACATATTTTCCGTGTTAGGTTGTGACTTCTTATGTTTCTTATGCGTTGGCTACAGAACTGGCAAACTGATATGTACATCGTCTTCCCTTGTCTTTATTTGATTGAACTGTTACTGGTTTTGGCATTTCTTGCAGTTTACCTCCTGAAGAATTATTATATAATTATATAGAATATCATTATGTATATAATTATATAAACATAGACTTCTGAAAACGAAAATAAGACTGCAATAAGATTACCGTAATTCGTGTGTTGTCTCTTTATATGGTTAAAGGAAAATAGAGATGTTGTATCAGTCTTTTTATCTCATAGAGTACAGTAACGTTATCGTTTTTATCAAGTTTGCTGTGATTTTTATTTGTATAAATTTGAGACAACATTTAACTGCCTTTTTGACAACAAATTGACATTTGCCAGTTTTATTTGAAATAAAATAGAGCAATTTCACAAATGTTTTTCTTTATGCCGTACCTACATACCGAGAACTCCGAATTTCGCAACAGAGACTTACAGGCATGGGAAGGCGGGGCATGTAACTGTCGAAAATCAGAAAAAAAGGTCCAAACAAAGGACAAGGTAGCTGTCACGACAGTGGCGTGCCCTTCCTCCCCTTGTTTGTGGGTCCCTGTTGCCAAATTCGGAGTTGTCGGGAAACTTAACAGCTTTGCAACCCAAAACCAATTAAAAGACAACGTCACTCTGTTCCTTAATTAATGAAATTTCTCTTCAACATCGTACTACCGCAATCCATTTGATTAAATTTCTATCTCTACTTTGGATATACATGTAATATGCACATTATTGATTGTTAGATTAGTGTTAGATAAGATGTAAAAGTCCTTCTGTAAATCAACACTGAATTTCACAGTTACGGCGGTCACAATCCTGTATCCAATTCAATTTATGTGGTGTGGTTTCAGCAATTGTCACTAATCAGGGTGGATCATAAGACTAGAGAACAATGCGCTCGCCTTGTCTTGCTCAAAATATGGTATATGTAGCGAGTTCCAGATATTTAATACTGTACAGTGCCTCCGCAGAATGTCGCTGAGGCATAGTAGGGGTCACTTTTTAATGACCTCTCAGTTCAGGACAATTTCAAGTTAAATAAAATAGGAAAAGTGCTAAGACTTGCCTTCTGTTAACGAATCAGTGTTATCTCGGTAACAAAAAAAAAAAAAAAAAAAAATCACTCAAATCTAGCAAACATCATGCAAGCTTATTATGTTTCTAGAATATCTGGCAGTTAAAGCATAAATTGACCTTAATTGTTTCGTATTTGTGCCTTACACTTCTATACACTTTTCATCAATAGTGCTAATATTTTCTCTCGTATGAACTGTTTTCAGCATGACGAACATTATGACCATGCAGGGCCGTAGCCTTCGGGGGGGGGGGGGGGGGGACGAGGGGGGGGGGAGCTGCCCCCCCTGTCAAAGTTGGGTCGGCAAAAAAATTGAATGCGACAAAGGTAAAAAAAAATAATTGCAAAGTTGGTATCAATTCTGTGAGAAAAAGACACTCATGGCCACTAGACAATCANGTAATATACATACAGTTTTTAAAAGTTTTCCACACTGTGGGAGGGGGACCTCCCCTCCAACACCCTCCCCCCTCGGGGGCTTCGCCCCCTCGTGTCCACTTACTGCCCCCCCTGGCATTTTGCTCAGGCTACGGCCCTGCCATGTGTGTGAAATACTGGTTCAGAGTACAAATAACCAAAGAAATAGACGAGTACGTATAATTACGGTAACTGATAATCCGTATCTTCTTTTGGAGGGTTCTTCACCTCAAGTTCGTATACAAATTACCAAAAAATAGACAATTACGTCATGAATTACGTTAGATCTAATTGATAACGCGGATCTTGTTTTGTCGGGCTCATCGCCTCCAGTTCTTTTATATTGCAATTGCATGTACGTGTACATACAGTATGTATTCCAACATCGCCCTCATCGTATGCAGAACTGGTACATTATCGCAAGAAATGATAAAATGCATGCAGAATGAAGGACACGGTTTTGAATCATCCATGAACAATTGTTGCTGAAACCTGAATAGTTTACAGTACGAAGATGAAGATCTGCCAATTTCACCATAGACCTTTATTCTTTAATTTTATATCAGTCTGATGTAATCGGGCCTTTCCTGTGGAATTCTTGTGACCAGTGGGAAGATGAGCGAAAAAACAACGTTTAACAAGACCAATATTCCCAAGAAACATTCCAAATGAGATGCGCCAAAACAGATGTCTTCCACATCAAACAAATGCCAGCCTACAAAGAAAGGAAAGCAATTTCTTATCTACATATATAATATATATAGCGACTGATCTTAATTTACCATTTTCGTATAATCAAATAATGACAATTTTAATTACATACTTAAAAAGATATTATATTCACGCGTACAACCACTTTTATATCTAGGTGCTTCCATACAGGATTGATATGAACGAAACGTGATGAAACAAATTTATCGTATTCTTCCAAAATCTTATTAAAAAGCATCACATCTATTGGGAAATGTCGATCAAAAGACCCATTTTCAAATAATATCACCGTTTCATTATTTAATAACCATTATTCTAAGCTTAAAATGATCGCTTATTATATGTTCGGTATTCACGATGGTTATCTTACCTGGCTGAGTTTCTGTCACCAACGCTTCAATTCCAACTGCAATAAAATATGAAAGGCCCAGCGCCGTCTGGTGTAGGCCCATGCTAAAGCACTTTATTCCATCGGGGGCTTCCATATAAGAGTACTCCATCACTGAAAATGTGCACAGTTTTTTTTTCTGTTTGTACATTCTGTTTTGAGCATGCCGGTATGGGCATTATACAGGCAGTGGCAAGGGATATATGCAAGTCCTTTCATCCTTTCATGCAAGCTACTGGGGGTGACAAAAGTACTGCATCATTTGCTTAAAGGTGAACACCAGGTCGTTTTTTTTTTTTTCAATTAATCCAGGATATCACTCGTGTTTTAGCTTTCCATACATCAACCCCATTTCATCAGTTCTGTAGAAAGTAATGCACCCCTAAACCATCACTTAAGTGAGCTGTCTAGCGCGGATATGCATTTTCTGTGGCAGATTAGAAAGAAGTGGATGATGTTCTGTATACTGGCGCCAGTTCTGGCTTGCAGCCCATGCAATCAATCATCTTCGTTTGTTTACCGGGGTGATTAGTTTTTTTTTTCCAACCCTGGTGTGAATTCCTGTAGCATGGAGCTTTCTTTGTACAGTTACCCCCCCCCCCTCCCCCTCACTCAGAGAAACAATTTCTTTATTTTCTTCATTTGTGAGTTCTCGTAGATTGACAACCAGAAGGCCGTTACACCGATGGCATCCTTCATAGTGCGCATGGGTGAAAACTCATGACTGGTTACGCGAGCAATAAACCGCAAATTACTTTTTACGAACGGGTCCCCCATGTCACATAACACGCTATTCACACAGATGATGTAATACTTTGTAACCCCCTGTAGCTGTTTTTTACGTATAGAGCTGCAACGTACCTTTAGCCTCGTGCTTCCCTTCTAACACCCTACCACCACCACCACCAAACACAAAAACCCACACACCGCTAAACCCTATACAGGCCTACCCTGCTATATATGGAGAAATGATGTGGGCATGTGAAGTGAAGCAAGTAAAGTTATTAGTCGGAATCACTTTCAATCTGTTGGATTCATGGGTTGGAGTCAATGGTCACGATTTAAGACGTGAACAGAACGGTTTCTTTGAGTGACATGGACGAAAATATGAATTTCAGTCTTCACAACCTCGGTATTCTAAAGTGATACTACTTTCGGATAAAATATGTAAATGAAACTTATCACGAATAAAAAATGATCATCTTTTACTGGTAGGTACGAGAGAACGGGTATCAGACCCTGTTAACCGAGTATTTCATGTTGGCCTAAATGACCGGAAGGGGAAAAAGCAAGCTGCAGCTGAGAAAAAATATGCTGCTTGAGCACACTCGTGCTACTTGGCAAGAAAGGCGAAACATAATTATAAAATAAAAGAAAAGATATGCATCAAAGTACCTGTAAGCTGCGTGAAAACTTCAGCGAGTGCAATCAAAGTATATTGAGGTCCTTGGGCAAATATACTGATTGTGGAACAGCCGTGGTTGTGTTTGCTGTAATTTTTCCGAACTGTCTCCAGAACGATGGCTACTAACCCGGATATGATGGAGAACACCACGCCAATAGCTGAAAACCAATGATAATGAAATATTAATTTCTTGAAATAAGTATGGTAAGTCTATATATTATGTGCACATTACAGTTATATGACCTATAAGATTTAAACCTTCTTAAAATATGATACATACCACAAATTATTCAACCTTAACATAAAATTAAGCTGAATGTGCATGTACTAAAATGCAAAAAGGGTGCTGAAAGGCATTAATCATAAAAGAACTTTAAAATGTAAATTTTGAAAGAGCCCTAAAAATGCCTTAATCATTATCGGCTCTAATAACTAAAACTATTTTGTTATTCAGAGTAACTACATTTGTAGTATTCTATCAACTGAAAAAGAATAATTGTTAAAACAAAGTTTCTCTGAAAAAAATAATAATTTTGATAGAAAATGAAATTTTAATTTAAAACGATTTTCAGGAATTTCAAAAAGCAGCTACATCTAATTGTTTTAATAATTTTACCGTTTATCAGTCACTGTTTACATTTTGGGCATTTTGATGAACAGAAGTTATATATATATATATAAAATGAATATAACGTGTTGCATTTTTTATTTTTTATACTTACATGTCTTTGATATATAATGCGGTCCGCCGCGGGGCCATATTCGTGGATAAAGACAGTATAGGGTAAAAGGGATGACAAAAACGATGACGACCTCATTAAACAAGATAAGCTGAGTCGAAGGAGATGGAAACTCGAACTTATCCCCAGTTATGTTACCGTTAAGACCAGATGCTTGCATCTCGTAGACTGTAAGTATCTGAAAAGAAAATAGATGCTAAGAAATTGAGTTTGTAATTCAAAAATGATATAAACTGTTGGCAAATTGCTTTCAGAATTATTCGTCTTGATTTAGTCTGTAAAATGATAAGAGAGAGGGAGAGAAGTTGTTTTTGTATAATTAACTGTAAGTTAGTGGAACGATTAATCGATGTTTAATCGCTAACTGGGTTGACTGATTGATTTTATCATACCGGCAAGTAAAGAAATCCAAACCCAACGACAGCAGAATTAACCAACAGAATCCTAAAAACTGCTCTTAAATTCGACCTCCGTGAGATATTTTCCCTTCTACGATATGATGTACTCAACAGGCACCCGTTTCTGCATAACTGAAACGCCGATGACAAAACATTAGGCAGCGCTGTGCCTGGAATGTAGAACATATGTACCGGAATAATATGCATGTTTACTGGTAGGCTATATACTAGTAGTGCACAGGGTAAATAAATGTAGAATCAATGCTTAATTGACGATGAAGTTTAGACTGGTTCCCATGCCTAGATCGATCCATCTAGTTAAGTCTGGATCGGTCTAACTCCCTGTCGAGTCTCACTAAATTGCTATCAGCTTTTTAGTGATATCGCAGGGAGATAGATCGATCCCTAAGGGACCATTCCCATACCCTGTCGTACTAACTGTGGATCGATCTATCTTGGAGGGGATTCTTGCTAAATTGCAATCAACTTAAGTGGCTTAGATGTCTGTCACGCTTACTGCAGCTGCTAGGGGGTAATTAATTATCGTTTAGCAGCTTCAGTAGGCATGCCAGACATCTAAGCCGCTTAAGCTGAAAGCAATTTAGCGAAAAATCCCTCGGAGATGGAGTGATCCTGTAAGATCGATCAAGGTATGGGAACCCAGTCTTACTTTTTTATTTTTCTTCTTTCATCTTTGAAACCATTTGTGGAAGACCAAGGGAGGCAGGCCAAATGTAACCCATTCATGATCAGTCGATCACAATTATGAATGTCTCTGTTCTGAGAACGAATGAGATACTAGGAATAATGAGATAGAGGCAACATTGGTTTGAGTTTTTTCGCTGCTGTTGTCATTCCGCGAAGGGCGAAGAATGATGTTGGTGATGATGATGATGATGTACATTAGTGGGGCAACATGAAAATCGTAAGTCTTTACAATTTGGAGCGCATTTCTAACAAGGAAGTTATTTTTCAGTGACAGTCAATTTACCTTCAGTGCAGGTAGAGTCCGGCCGGTTCTCTTCCGGCGGCTTTTTTCTGACCAAAATGGCCGTCAAAACTAGTATGTCAGACAAAACGCCTGAAACCGGAGCTATCCAATACTTATCGTACAGCTCGTCCTTGTCAAAGACGGCGCTTGATGTGTCAGCGATGATGGCCCCGACATTTCTCCATACGTAGTACCTGTGAATGATAAAGCGTGTAAGTAATCATTGGTCGGCTTCATTCATACAAGCCAAGTAAATCATTACAAGGTACCAGTAAACGATGTTTGCTTGAACAACTGATTGGTAAGATAACGGAATGTATTCCAGTATGTTACGCACAAATAAAGCATGTAGTTAGCCAGAAAGGCTCTTATCGTGAGAACCATTTTAAACGTAGTTTACGTCACTGGATAATAAAACGTACAAATGTTCATTTCACACATTGAATGTTAACGATAAGCATCATGAATACCAATATCATATATAAAACAGATGCAAATAATTAAAAAAAAAATACGTGGCGTCAGTACCAGTGAATAAATCGTCTGCGATTATTTTCGTTCGGCACTTGTGCAGCTCCCACTACTGGCAACACAGCCCCAATACAACCCTGCCCCAAAGCTGTACTCACAAGTCCTGCTATGACAAGGTCTCTGGCGGCCGAGAGCTGCAGTATATCGCAAACGCATAAAAATATATTTCTCATATATTTTTGACTATGGCTTTCTTTTCCCCTTGTCCACAAAGGGGTAGGGCCTACACTTATTTTATTCCAAAGCCGAAACGTATCAAATAATTAATGCTTGGCCACCACTATCACAATTTAGACCTGGGCCCCTTAAGTCCAAAGCATCGCGCATTGCGACAGAGTACAAGCGTCTCGATTCCATAACTCGCCCAGACTCTCCCCATATAATGTATGTGATATCGCTATTCGCAATACGCGATGCTTTCTAGTAACGGGGCCCAGGATGCAACAGTCTGTGATTGCGAATACTGCCACTGTGTCCGAGAAATTATTTTACAGGAAATGTGGATAATTCTGTGCATATGATAGTTTGGTTGGTGGAAAAGGGCCAATATATTGGAAAGTGAATGATATTAAAACATTTATTGACTATCAGTTAGTTTAACTAACTACAGTGTAACAACAATTAATTTCTTTGCTGCCGAATACTCTTTGTAAATAACAGCTTGCGGATTAAAAAATCGAAACGCTTTTTCGGCATTGCATTTTCAGACTTTACTTTTCATATTGAGAGCTATGGGAATATTGGTTAAGCTTGCAAGCAAATACTTATGGGTTTCAGTAACTATAATGAGTTTAATTAAATAAAATTACGTTAAAATATGATAGACAGTTATTGAAAAATACATGTAACATATATCTAATTAATATAAACCATTTAACAAACGGAACTTTATCAAATAACTTTAACATTACATTTGCCTTAGCTTCATATGCAGCACACTCCAGGAGAACAAGACCTGAGAATGAAAATAATATCATCAATACTTCACAGATATGGGTTAAGGTGTGTATATATGTGTTTCATTTTTAAGATTAAAGCCTAGGACACATTTGCCATGCGATGCGATGTCCGCACAGTGTCTCTTTTTGACATTTCTGCGAAGGCGGACAGAGAACCGGGTAGGGCCTAAAATAGTACAGACGATTTTTTCAAGTTGAAACTTTTGACGATATTTTCTGATCGTGTGCCTGTACGTGTTATGTCACGTGGTTGCTGAATAAAACCCACGGGACCGCATCAACGAGTCAACCTCAAGAAAGACGTACGGATGATATACGGCATCTGCACTGAGATTGAAAGGACTCCCTGCGTGTGATCACTTTTCAAAGGACAAACCGATTTAGCACAGCATTTATTCATGACATACTCACCGAAGCCCGTCAAACATATTATGCCCCCCCAAAATTGCACGGAAATCCATATGCTATTTCATCGTACGGCGTCCGTGGCAAATGTAACCTAAGCTAAATTAATGAGCGCATATTTACATGTGTTTGACAACAAAGGTTTTCAATGTATTTAAGACTCTTTATACACAATTTATGTTTTTTAACCTCCGCCAAGGAGGTTATGTTTTCACCCCTGTCTGTCTGTTTGCCATCAACCTAACTCAAAAAATTATGGACCGATTTTAATGACATTTTTAGGGTAGGTGGGAAATGGGTTAACTTAGAAGTGATAAGTTTTTGGTGGTGATCCGGATCAATAATCAATCAATAATAATAAAAAATCGCTGCCTTGGCGGAGGTCTGCGCTCTCGTTTTTTATATTTTCATGTACGCTACAGTAAATACATCTTAATCCAATAGCGCAATGGGGAGGGGGCGGCACAGCGAGCACGTGACTCACTCTTAGCTTTCGAGGCCACTGCTTCCCTCCAGTCTCCATAAAATATATAACTTAAGATAAAATACAGTATAACGAGTGAGACGATACCCAGTTAATATTTGAACTATATATATAACAGTTAAATTATCTTCGTCTTTGGTTGTATTTTTGCACATTCAATGCCCCCCCCCCCCTTATAAAGGTCCCGGATTCGCCAGTGTATATCGTTCCATTCTATGCGAGCTGCACACACAATTGTAGCTGTCATACTTACCTATACTGTAGACAACATACCCTACTCCCAGCGTTGGAATTGGATGAAGAAATGCATCAGCGAAGGCTCCACCAAATATCCCAAAACACGCCGATGCACCTGCAAAGGAGTACTAATTAAAGCGATATTCAAGTTAAAAGATTATGCCGTTGCATGTGGATAATTAAGGGACAAGGCCTATCCAGGATAATTTGAAGGGGGTCCGCGGATGCAAATCCGACCCTTAACCCCCTCACCCCGTGGCGTGAGGTTCGGCCCCTAATTTTTTTGGTATTTTAGAGGGCAAGCGGTGCCATTTAGTACGGTTCAGAACTATCTTTCAGCTAGTCAATATTCTAATTTCAAGAGAGGACCATTGGTGTGATTTTTTTCAGAAATCGAAGGGAAGACTCCCTGACATCCCCCTAAATCCCCCACTGAGAGGTCTGTGAGAATAATACTACGCATGTTTATTTTAGTGCACAAAAACTGTATAATCTATTGTTGATGATACATGTAACCGCATTGCGTTCAGAACAAGGGTAGGCCTACAAACGTGACTTATGTCATAGTCAATATGAGCATTGAGATAAGTACAGTTACAATGACGCACCTTGCGTTAAATCTCAGTGGTTAGTCAGTTTAAATAAATATCAAGCAGGTTTTGCAAAACAGATAAGAGTTATAGAGTCCCAATAAGCAATATTAATAGGGCCTCTTTGTCAACTGACGTCAAGCAAAGTGCAATTGAAAAACTTAGCTTAGTAATCCAAACCCTTTTCATGCCAAAATGTACATTTACTGGTATAAACATTTTGTCAAAGTATTTTTCACGTAAAATTGTCCATAGGTAAACGAGTTATGGTACTTGATCTAAAGGAAAACCCATCTCAGGCATACAAAATGTTTTTGTATGTCCAGAGAGACAAAAAGATGGACAGCAAACAAATAGGCAGGCAGGGGACAAATAATCGCCACTGGAGAAGACAGACAGACAGAGAGTCAGACAGACAGACAGACAGACAGACAGATAATCACACGGACAGATAAAGGTGAAAAAGGACAGAAGCTACTAATCACATAACATCTTCCGGTTGTCAATCATTTTCTTATTTTCATCACTTACCTACAAACATCATATGTGCAATTACTGCATCATCGGTTGTGTTGCTTGAATTTGAAGTCTTGGTCCATAATTCATTTACGTGGTTTTCGACTGTAAAATAGGCAGCCCGCTCACACATTAATGCCAGAAGTACCAGCAAAGCTGATTTAGAAAACGCCATTGTGAGGCGTCCATCTACCACTGAAAAACTACCGGGTCAATTGTGACAGATACACTGCGTTACTGCCCTACGTCGTTGAACGTTAGTTATTAGAACAAACGTATATCAAAACAAGGAATTTTATCATAAAACCTCTCAAGCCGACTTGTGATGCAAAACCCTCGTTGTTGCATTAATTAAAGTGAAATTTAAGTTCAGATATTCTGTCAGTTATTGATAAGTGCCCCGGTATATTCAAAACGAATTATAATTGAAATAGGAACGCATCTCCAAAGATTTAAAAGTATGCTGCACGATGATAGAAGCATACCGTCTTATCAGGAGCCGGGGGCGAAGTTTAGTCTACCGGGTAGTTAAGTCTCGTAGTAACCAAGTCAGTAATAAGCGCAGATAAAAAAGGGATGCGGGGAATCCCCTGTCACCCTAATTTGTTACCGTTCCCCCTTCACCCCATCCCACGCACCCCTCTCGATGTTTGCACCCTACGTGCCTGACACATAAATGATTAAATTGAATAAGATGTCAAATACTAAAATTGTTACAGTTTCAAACTTTGGAAGGCTAACAAGCAAAAAAAAAAAAACTTTAGCTATCTTAGAAAACGAAAGACAGAGTACCGATTGATAAAATGAATTGGAGAAATCGCGAGAGGTTGCCATGAGTTCTGACATGTACGGTAGTTTTCGTCATATTTTCACTTCTTTCAATTAAAAAAAACGCTTTCTCAAACCAAGGAGGTCTGACAGAATAACAGCCTGTCCAAAAATCTGAATTTGAAATTCATTATAGTGATTACACATATAGTCGTTGTAATCAAGTAAGTCATACCCCTTCCCGAAGAAATTTAATTTTTCTCAAAAGATTGAAGCTGACAAAGTCCAAGAGCCTGCGGATGCCGTAAATCCTGCTTCCACAGTGATACGGCCGCAGTACAAAAAGGAAGATGTGTGACGATACACGGGTACCTTATGGACATCGGATGGCAAATGTAACCTAGGCGTTTTGAAGTTTTATAAAAAAGAGTTTACCAGAGGAGACAGGATTGTGCCGGAAGTGTGAAGTCATGTGACGTCAAATGACTTTTTTTTTCTTTAGGTATTTTGGGCAGAAAATTCTTACAGAAATTAAAGGTACATGATATGAAAATGCGTTACGATACTTGAAGGTGCAAAATAGTGCTTAAAGAAAAAATGTTATCTCACTATGTTGTTGGAAAAACTGCTTTTTTCTCTGAGCCCACATCTTCACTCCCGTTCAGCTCCAGCTAAAAAATGACCACTCAGCTTCACGTCTTACACCACTACACGTCACTTGCAGCACAATCCTGTCTCTTCCGGTACTCTCTATTGTGTACCTTTGGACGGAAGCTGTGCCTTTAGCTTTCAAAAGAGACTGCGGACGTCATTGGGCCATTGTAAGTGTCGGGATATCTAATCTATTGTTTGTGCCCGTTCATGCTGTCGCTGTACGTTTTGGTGTGATAGCAGTGCTGAAAATTTTGCACTTCGTTTCATATTTGCAGGTGTTATTTCTGCGGAACAATATCACATTGCTAGCCAAAGTTTAAGTTCAATATATAATTTGATAACTTATTTTGAAATCGGAACTGCCAGAATAAGTGATATACTACATGTATCTGATACGTTCGCCTGAGGGGAGGGCGTGTAACCAGGAGAATTTTTTATTTTAAGGGCGAAAAGTTCTGTTCAACAGGTTTATCAAAATTTACGACTGAAAAGCATTTTGATTGATCCAGAAAATATGAACCATTTGGTTATCAATACGCTGTTATGTGGACTGATTTGAGGGGATAAAATCTTACGACCAGGGGAGAAGCCTGCTACTGTCAAATAACACGTTGGCCTAAGCTAAGCTAAGATCCAACATAAAGTAGGCAACGAATTTTTTTTAGCATGCATATTGTAATTACGGGCCTTGTAAGTTGTAAGACATTGACTAATAATTGCGTTTGTTGCGAATGGTGTCACATTCAACACACCACGAATTACTCTCTTGGCCTGACCATGAAACAGATGGATCAACATATACATTCATGGCCTTGCACAAATATAAAGGCCTCCTCCATGAGGTCTATTTCCCCAGGTTCCAGCCAGATACCTCAACCATCAGTCCTTTTTCGTGGCATGCAAGTCAGAAATTATTTTTGGATGGGGGTAAAATGTTTTTCACTTTACATGCTCTCGCTCAACTGAATTTCTCTTCAACATTGTACGACCACAAATTGCCAATCCATTTGATCACATTTCACTTTGCATCTCTACTTTTGAATCTTCCATAATATGCACTTTTGTTGGTTGTTAGAATAGTTTAAGATAAGATGACAAAAACATTAAACTTCTACTGGGAAAGAACCTGAATTTCACAATTACTGCGGTCACCATTCTGTATTCAGTAATTGTGGTGTGTTTTCAGCAAATCAAAAATTGTGGTGGATTACACTAATATAGAAGAATGCGCTCGCTTTGTCTTGCTCAAAATTCGGCAGGTATAGCAGTGCGTTTCAGAAATTTAATACTGTACATTACTTCCGCTGAGACATTCTAATAATCCAGGGGTCACTTTTTTAATAACCTTTTCAATTCAGGACAAATTTAATTTAAATAAAAGAAGTAAAGCTTCAAGACTTTTGTTCTGCTAACAAATCACAGCGTCATCTGCGGTAACGAAAAAAGATCACATTCAACGTCTATATAATATAATGCAAGCTCATTATGTTTCTAGAATGTCTGTCAGTTAAAACATAAAGTGATCTTAATTGTTTCGTATTTGCGCCTTACTCTTCTATACACTTTTCGTTAATAGTGATAATATTTTCTCTTGTATGCGCTGTCTTTGGCATGATAAACCTTATATCCGTGTGTGTGAAATAGTGCTTTCGTGAATAAATTGCCAAAGAAATAGGAAACTAAGTAATTAATTACGGTAATTGATAATGCGAATCTTGTTTTGGGAAGTTCTTCACCTCCATTTATTTTATGTTGGCAATTGCATGTACGTGTACATACAGTAGCCCTATGTATAACAACATCGTCTTCGTTGTATTGAGGACTGGTACATTATCGCAAGAAATGATAAAATGCATGCAGAATGAAGGACACAGGTTTGGATCATCCATGCACCATTGTTACTTAAAAAAATAATTTGCAATACATGTTGATGCAGATCTGCCAATTTCACCTTAGACCCTTATATTTATATTTCATCTCAGTCTGGTGTAGCCTGGTCTTTTCTTTGGAATTCTTGTGACCATAGGGAAGATGAGAGAAAAAACTACGCTTAACAGGACCAATATACCCAGAAAACTTTCCAATTGAGAATCGCCACCACAGATGTCCCCTAAATCAGACAAATGCCAGTCTACAAAGAAAGAAAAACAATTTATATCTATAATTATAACATACAGTGACTTGCCTTAACTGTAACCTAAAAAAATTTTAATTTTCGTATAATCAAACAATGGCAATTTTAATAACATGCTTTCAAAGACATTATTTATGCGTGCGACCACTTCTATATACTAGTATAGGTTCTTTCGTACAGGATTGAGATGAACGAAACGTGATGAAACAAATTAATCGTATAAATTCCAAATCTTGTTAAGAAGTATTACATCTATTTGGAAATGTCGATCACAGGTTAGACCCATTTTGGAATAACATCACTGTTTCATTATTTACCAGTTGCCTATGCCAAATGGTACAATGGCCCCTTAGAATATGTTCGATATTCATGATAGACATCTTACCTGGCCGAGTTTTTCTCACCAACGCTTCAATTCCAACTGCAATCAAGTAGGACAGGCCCAGCGCCGCCTGGTGTAGGCCCATGCTGAAGCACTTAATACCATCGGGGGCCTCCATATAAGAGTACTCCATCACTGAAAATATGCACAGGTTTTCTTCTGTCTTTTATATATTATGTTTTGAGCATAAAATAAACCGCAAATCACTTAATTTTTACGAATGGGTCCCCCATACTTTTGTAACCCCCTGTAGCTGTTTTTTATACATATTGTATTGATAACATGCTAACCAAAAAAATCCGACCAATTTCCCTCGCACTTCCTTTCTAACATCCCCACGTCCACACCACCAACAGCAATAACACACAAAAACAAAAACACACTGCCAAACCCTATATAAGGAGATATGATGTGTACTGTACATGTACCTGCAAAATGTATCAAGTTAACAAATACGTTGTAATTCTTTTAATTTCAATCTGTTGGAGCCAAGGGTCGGAGTCAAGTGGCCACGATTTAAGCCGTGAACAGAAAGGTTTCTTTGGATGACGTGGACGAATATGTGAATTTCTGTCTTCACATCATCGGTATTTTAAAGTGATACTACGTTCGGATAAAATATGTTAACGAAGCATATCACACAAAAAAATGATCGGCTATTAGGTACGAGGAGGACGGTATCGGAACCTGTGAACGGAGTATTTCATGTTAGCCCAAATGACCGCCATATATACAGTACACGTTTACGAACATTATGACCATAGGTTAACATGCTGACTTCAGTTGAAGAGGAAAAAACCAAGCTGCAGCTGAGAAAAAAATATAACCACTAGTGAGCTGCTTGAACACGTGTCGAATGTTGCTTGACAAGAATGGCGAAATACGATTGAAAAAAATAGAGGAAAAGACATGTGTAAGAGTACCTGTAAGCTCTGTAAAAACTTCAGCGAGTGCAATCAAACTATATTGAGGTCCTTGGGCAAATATACTGATTGTGGAATAGCCGTGGTTGTTTTCGCTGTCTTTTTTCCGAACTGTCTCTAGCATGATGGCGACAAACCCAGATATGACGGAGAAGACCATGCCAATACCTAAGAAAAAATGATAGTAAGGTTTATTTCTTAAATAGAGCATTAGTCATGCGAATTGTTATGCCAATTATACATGTATACAGTTTGTTAAACGAAATGCGCTTTACAGTTATATGCACTATGAAATTCAAATTAACCTTAACATGTGATCTTTTTCAATACTACAAATTACCACAGTATTGACATAAAATTAAGTGATATAATGAATATGTCCTAAAACACAAAAAGGGGTTAGAAGATATTATTCATAAAAGCTTTAGAATGTAGTTGTTTTTTTAAAGATACTTTAAAAATCCCATAATCATTATCAGTTCTAAAATAAAAAAGACAGGTCATTCCTAAAATAAAAAAGACAGGTTATTCTTGAACTCAGGGCATAAACTGTAAAAAAAATATTTTGTTATTCGGAGTAACTGCATTTCTACGTAGTGTTCTTTCATTTGAAATAGAATATACAGTATGTTGGAATAAAAAGTCTCTGAATATAGCCCTGATAAAAAATAAATTTATAATTAAAATCGATTATCATGAATTTCAAATAGCAGCTGCATTTCCGTTTTAACAGTTTTAATCATTTATCATTTTTTTTTACATTGAGTGCATTTTGATGAACTAGACATATATATATATATATATATATATATATATATATATATATATATATATATATATATATATATATATATATTGACTTTCTGTACGACTTAATTGCAAAATTGCATATAACAACATGTTTTCTATACTTACATGTCTTTGTTATATAATGCGGTCCGCCGCGGGGACATATCCGTGGATAAAGACAGTAGAGAGTAAAAGGGATGACAAAAACTACCACAACCTCATTAAACAAGATAAGCTGAGTTGAAGGAGATGGAAACGGGTGCCCAGCCACAGTTCCGTTAAGCCCAAATGCTTGCAACTCGTATAATGTAATCATCTGAAAAATTACATGGTAAGGAACTGCAATTCAAAATTGAAATAAATTGTTGGCAAATTGAGTTTGATCAGAATTCGTAGTCATGATCTAGTCTGTGAAAGAAATGACTGACCTGTAAGGACTAAATGGAGGGGAGGAGAAAGAAATGTCGGTTTTACTTGATTTACAATTAATTGTTTGAGCGATAGATCGATACTTTATTGATTGCTGTGTTGATTTAGTGATTTCATCATACCGGGAAGTAAAGAAATCCAAATCCAACGACAGCAGAATTAACCAACAGAATCCTAAGAACTGCTCTTAAATTCGACCCCCGTGACATATTTTCCCTTCCACGATATGATGTACTCAACAGGCACCCTTTTCTGCATAATTGAAACGCCGATGACAAAACATTAGGCAGCGTTGTACCTGTAATGTTAAACAAATGTACCGGTATAATATGCATGTTTATATACTACAGAAGTACTGTATAGGGTAAATACATGAAGGTGTAATGCTAAATTAACAATGGTGTTATTTGATAACAACTACAGTGCCCGCATTTTATTGTAACCAGAAGCTTAGGGACCATTCCCAGGCCCTATCGTACTAACTGTGAAGCGATTTATCTCTGACGGGATTCTCGCTAAATTACAATCAACTTAAGCGGCTTAGATGTCTGTCTCGAGCTGCTAGGGGGTAATTAATTATCGTGTAGCAGCTTCAGCTGAAAGCAATTTAGCGAGAAACCCCCCGGAGGTGGATCGACCCTGTTAGATCGAGCTAGGAATGGGAACCCAGTCTTACATTTTGAACACTACTTGTGGTAAGGCCAAGGGAGGCAGACCAAATGTAACCCATTCATGATCAGATAATCACCATTATGCATGGCACTGTTCTGAGACCAAATGCGAGTGCAAACAAGTGCACAAGGAATAATGAGACAGATGCAACGTTGGTTTCAGGCCTACCCAACTACCAGACTCGGCACCGAATGATCCTGAATTCACCGGTAGATCGGACCACACTACCCGTTTTCAAGGTAGGCCTACGTATCAGATCGCATTTCACAGTATCATACCCCGAACAAATTTTAAGTGGTGATGCAATACTTTTCAACCTCGCTGAGAATCATCACTATCACATCGCGTACAAGGCAAGAGCGGTGTCGCGTCTGACACTGTGAAATGCGATCTGATACACACCTTGAAAACGGGTAGTGTGGTCCGATCTACTGGTGAATTCAGGATCATTCGGTGCCGAGTCTGGCAGTTGGGTAGGCCTGGGTTTGAGAATGTCGTTTCGCAAAGGGCGAAGAATGATGTTGGTGATAATGATGATGATGGTGATAGTAGCTATATAAGTGGGACCACGTGAAACTCGTAAGTCTTCTACTATAAGTAGTGCATATACAGCATGAAAGTCACTTTTTCAGTGACAGTCAACTTACCTTCATTGCAGGTGGAGTGCGGCGGGTTTTCTTCCGGCGGCTTTTTTCTGACCAAAATGGCCGCCAAAACTAGTATGTCAGATAGAGCGCCTGAAACCGGAGCTATCAAATACTTAATGTAGAACTCGATTTCGTACTGGACAAAGACAGCGCGTGATGTGTCAGCGATGATGGCCCCGACATTTCTCCATACGTAATACCTGTGAATGATGAAGCGTGTTGGTAATCATATATCGGCTTTATTTATGCATGTCAAATAAATCATTACAGGGTGCCCTTATACGATGTTTGCTTGAACACCTGATTTATTAGATAACGGAATGTATTTCAATAGGTTATGCACAAATGATGTTTAGCCAGAAAGGCACACATCGTGAGAAGTATTTTAAACGCAATTTACGTTACTACCGGTAGATAACATAACGTACAAATGTTCGTTTCACATTAAATATTGACGATAAGCATCATGAGAAGCAATATCATATTAATAACAGATGCAATTAGTTTTTTTAAATGCGTGTCGTTAGTACCAGTGAATAAATCGTCTGCGATTATTTTTGTCCGGCACTTGTGCAGCGCCCACTACCGGCAAGACAGCCCCAATACAACCGTGTCCCAAACCTGTAGTCGCAAGTCCTGCTAAGACAAGGTCTCTGGCGGCTGAAGGCTGCAATATGTCGTAAACAAATTAAAAATGACTATATTCCTCATATACTGTATTTGTGGACATGGCGTTCTTTTGTCCCTGGTCCACAGAAGGGATACACTTATCGTATGTCAGAGCCATAATGTGAAATTAAAAAAAAAGCAATTTTCGAGTTCATAGAACAGTTTATTTTCTCCGATTGATAAAATGCTCCAAGTTCTCATAAATGTTATACAGAATTTATCTTGACTCTACCTTAACATTTTGTCTCAAATATATAAATAATATATAAATAATATAGACAGAAGACATTTCTCATAAAACAACTTGACTCATCATGTGAAGAAGCACCAAACAAAACTCTCACATATAGGACCTGCATGTTAAACTGATTCTGTTCAATGCACATATATGTTCAAATGAAATTTTGGAATAATTTATTATAATACATTGAGTCATGCACGTGAAAATCAAAACGTATCAAATAATTATAATCAATGGTTAGGCACCACTACCACATTTTAATCCTGAATGCAACAGGCTGGGATTACGAATGCTGTAATTGTTTTGAAAAGGTTTTACAGGAAATGTGGATAATTTTATGCATATGATAGTTTGGTTAGTGAGAAAAAAAGAGCATTGGGAAGAAAATAAAGTTTGATATAAATTGATGATAATTTAATTTACTATCTGGAAGTTTAACAGGAATTTTTTACAACATTTTATACTAAATTTTACAATATTTAATATGCTTCCGAATATCCTTTGTAAATAAGCGTTCACAGGTAAAAATACATACATAACAACAAATGCATAAGTCTCTGTAACAAAGATGTATTTAATTAAATGAAATTCCGTTTAATTACAATAGACAATTCTTGAGAAATACATGTACCATATATCAAATAATATAAATAATTTTTAAATCATTTGTTAAAACAAATGAAACTTTATCGGATTACTTTAACATTACATTTGTCTCAGCTTCATATGCAGCATACTCCAGAAGAACAAGACCTGAGAATGAAAATAATGTACTCAAGACACAACCAAAGAGATTTGGGGTGTGCATGCAAGCGTGCGCGTGTATATGTATATGTATATGTGTCTGTCATTTTTAAGACTATTAAAGCCTCGGTCACATTTGCCATGCAATTTAATGTCTTTTTTGGCATACGTCTGTGCGGAGGCGGACGGTGAACCGGGAAGTCCGTACGGATTTAAGACCCCCGTAGCCTTTTTTGAACTTTTGACAACTTTTTCAAACCGTATGCCCGTAGGTTTTGTGTCATGTGGTTGATAAAAAAAAAAACCTACGGGCTGCATCAACAACGTGTCAATCTTCAAGAAGGACAAAGGCCTATGTCGCTATACGGCATCTTCAGGGAGATTAAAAGGACTCCCATCGTGTGATCACTGTTCAAAGGAGAGCCCGATTTAGCACGGCACCCATATGTAGACATACTCAACAAAACACGTGGAAACATAATATGTGCAAAAAATACACGGAAACATATACAGTAATTCATCGTGAGGCGCCCGTGGCAAATGTAACCTAAGATTGAGGTTTTAATGAGCGTATATATCCATTGTGTTTGACAATGTGTTTAACAAAAAAATGTTCTCAATGTTTGTAAGACTCTTCATACACAATTTATGTTTTTGATATATTTTATGTACGCCACAATAAATGCATCTACATCCAATAGTGTATTGGCGAGGGGGGGGGGGGACGAGGGGCAGCGAGCATGTGACTCTCTCTTGATTAAGAGGCCACTGCTTTTCGCCAGTCACCATAAAAATTAAATATAACTTAGAATTAAATACGGTATAACGAATGAGACGAGTTACACCCAGACAAGAAATTACCCCTTTTTCACATGTAATACCCTTCCTCTCCAACTTATAAAGGCCCCGGATTCGCCAGTGTATAGCATTTCGTTAAATGCGAGCTGCACGCATTATTGTAACTGTCATACTTACCTATACTGAGGACAACATACCCTGCTCCCAGCGTTGGAATTGGATGAAGAAATGCATCAGCGAAGGCACCACCAAATATTCCAAAACACGCTGATGCACCTGGCAAAAGAGTACTGATTATCAAGTTAAAAGATTATGTCGTCGTGTGTTGATAATAAGGGAGTTCTGTGAAAATAATACTACGCATGTATATTTTAGTACACAAAAACTGTATATCTATTGTTGATGATACATGTAACCGCATTGCGTTCAGAACAAGGGTACAAACGTGACTTACGTCATAGTTAATATGAGCATAGAGATAAGGACAGTTAAAAATGACACACCTTGCGTTAAATGTCAGTGACTAGTCAGTTTAAATAAATATCAAGCAGGTTTTGCAAAACAGATAAGAGTTATAGAGCCCCAATTAGACAATATTAATACGCCCTCTTCGTCGGCTGACGTTAGGCAAAGTACATTGAAAAATTTAGCTTAGATATCCAAACCGTTTTTTTTTTTTTTTCGTTTTTTTTTTCCAAAATAAAAATAAACACGTACTGTTATGAAAATTTTGTCAAAGTATTTTTCACGTAATATTGTCTATTGGTAAACGAATTATGTCACTTATTTAATAAGAAACCCCATCTCAGGCGTACAAAATGCTTTTCTTAATGTCCAGAGAGACAAAGAGATGAACAGCAAACAAACAGGCAAGGGACAAATAAGCACCACTGGAGAAGACAGACAGACAGAGAGTCAGACAGATGATCAAACCGACAGAAAAAGGTTTAAAAAAGACAAAGGCTACAGGTCACATCATCAATCACGTCGTCAATATTTTTTTTTCACCACTTACCTACAAACATCATATGTGCAAATACTGCATCATTGGTTGTGTAGTTGTTCTCCTGTAGTGTGTCGCATATGGTGTTACTTGAATTTGAAGCTTTGGTCCATAAATCATTTACATAGTTTTCGACTGTAAAATAGACAGCCCGCTCACACATTAATGCCAGAAGTACCAGCAAAGCTGATTTAGAAAACGCCATTTTGAGGTGTCCATCTATCACTACCGGGTCAACTGTGACGGACACACTGCGTCACTGCCCTCCATTGTTCGTTATTAGAACAAACGCATATTAAAACAAAGAATTTTATCACAAAACCTCTAAAACTTCCTTGGGATGCAAGAAAAACCGAAGTTAAGATATTGGATAACAGGAATTATTAGGAATGCATCTTCAATGTTGTAAAAGTACGCTGCCAAATGTTAAAAGCTTACTACCCTCTACCAGGGTGGCAGATATTATAGGCACATTTTCCCCATTTGCACCCTGTAACTTATGGTTAGATGGAAGCACGCGCGCAGATTGCTTTAAACTCGCTCTGTAGGGATCTATTACAGGAGTTTCCTCAGTTAACATTAATCTGCAGAAACAAGCTATAAAGAAGAGGCTATTTTTAATTGTCACAAAAGAACATTAAAATCAGAGCATTTAGCTGTTTTGGTTGCTGTCAAGGGGCTGTTAAATGGCAGTTCCTGAGCAGTTATGCAAGTAATTACCAGCCATGTAATCATCCTTGAAATTTCATTACAGTGTGACAGAGAACCAAACGGCCGTCTATTGATCTAAAGACATACCTATCTGTGAATATCTTGTGAAAACTCTCACTAGATAACTGTCAGCTTCTAAAGGCGGCTTAAGCGTTTGTCCCGTCTACTAAAAGCTGGAAGGGGGTAATTAACTGTCATGCGCGCTCGGCTGACTGCAATTTAGCGTGAATCCCCAGGGAGTTAGGTCGATCTAAATCTTAATATCTGGGAATGCACCCTAAGTGTCGGTTTGTAGGCCTACCAGTTCATGCTGTCGCCGCACGTTTTGGTATGATAGCAGTGTTGAATAATTTGCACTTCGTTTCATACATGTATTGCAGGTGTAATTCCTGCGGAACTTATATCAGAGCCAGAGTTTAAGTTTTAATATAATTTGATAACCTAGTTGGATGCGTCGAAATAAGTGATATACTATCTAATACGCCTACGTGTGTTTGCCTGAGGGGAAATTATATTTTTAGGACGTAAAGTTCTGTTTATCAGGTTCATCAAAATTAAATTGCGTTTGCTGCGAATGACACATCATGTAGGCCTATCAGTCTATTGGCCTGACCATGGGAATATATATATTTGGCATGTACTTCCATGGCCTGACATGATACCTCAACTATCAGATTCAAAAATCCACACTGTAAAATCAAGGAGTTATAGGCCTAACTCCTTGGTAAAATGTACTAAAACTTGGGGGGGGGGAGGTATTTATCAAATTCCTTGAAAATGTTTATTGATTGTTCTCTAATTGACAGTAATTTAGAAAGTTTATTAAATAAAATCATTTCATGCCAAATGAATAATGGTAATAATAATGACTATTATTTTTTCTTGTACAATTCTGTGTGTGACGTATTCGATATTGACATCTGAAAGGTCACATGACTTGCATGCTCTTAAAAGTAGGTCATGTTGTTATCACCGGGCAGAGAACAGAGCAACGCGAGTGAATAACTTTCCATGTGAGTTTGAAACCGATTTAATCTCTTTTGATGGGTGTTTCATTAGTGTCTTATGATCAATGTCATATTCTATATTTCTTGTAAATATGCTTAGACTTTGAGTAAGACCTATAAAATGTAGAAAAGTAAGGTGTGTTTTTGTCAGTAGAAAAAATAGATAAAAAGCATGGAGATCTAATCAACTTATGCTCCGTAGCATGCTAGAGCACAAGGTAAGAGCACAGTAGAGGAATTACTTGATTATGGGAAATCCAAGTAGTGGACGTATCCATCTTTCGCCCTACGTGTGTGCACAGAGCAAGCTTATGGATGACGTGTATTTTTACAACTATATTATTGCCACAGCCTGCCAAGGCACACGCGTGTTCCCAGTCATGTATTTTGGAAAATACTTCCTCTTGGCTCATTACATATGGTTTATATCATATGTGTACAAATACTTGGCCAAGGTCTATATTATATGTTTACAAATGCTTGGCCAAGAATCTGAGTAAAAAGTGAATTTTGATTTGAAATGTTAAATATTTCTTATCTGAGAAACGGCAAAGATAGTGATGGCCACTAATGATATCAAGCCTCCTTTCTCCTTTAATTCTAACAATAACCAGGAAGTAACACTGACTGCATTTAATTACCTGTGTTATTAACTGAAATGACTGTTATTAAATGGTTCATTTTATTAAAATGCTAGATTAGATTCAATTAGCATACTAAGCCTAAGTGTGTTTATAAAGTACATCAGAAATAAATCTTTGATTATTATTATATTTGGATGTTTAACTTTTCTGTGTAACAAGTATCAGTTGCTGCTGATCGCTGATGATCTGTATTAATAATGAAGGTGTTGGAGAAACAAAATGTCATTTTATTGTTATATATAAAATAGTACAGCAGACTAGTTTATTTAATTAAGCTGCCTTAATTGTGTTATTACTTAAGTCTAGATGGATATACTGGTATTTTGCAGTGCTGCCCATATAATCAACACTGGAAGAAAACCTTTACATAATTTAAATACTAGTTACAACACGAGTTGTCCACTGTATGCGACATACATGTACAAGTGCGTTATAATATAGAGGCTGGATTTAGTTCAATATGTGCATGATTATACTCCCAAAGTTTCAGTTATCTTGGTCGCTTATTTGCATTACTAGTAGTTCACCAATTGTTAAAGGGTTGTTTGTGGTACACATTATCCTTGAGATACCCCCACAGATAAAAACTCCATAAAAACTTTATGGGATCTATTTTGGGGGGGGTCACCCTGTATTAGTCTTGTTCACATTATTGTGGTGTAAGAGGCGGATTCAGGACATGAAAATCGGATAGATATATATACAGATAAGTCATCTCCTGACCTTCTACCAGTACTGGCCTTGTTACTAGTATGGGGGTCATGTTCAGAATTTTAACTGCCATATGTGATTATAGATTGAAATTGTATAAAATATATATGATGTTTTTATATAACTGATGTGTTGAGCTATGCCTCTCTTGTTCAGTGTTGTATGGACATATTATTAAAGTCTATGAGCTGCTTCTTGATTCTATAACATTCATGTATAACACCCACTTTCTTACACAGTGACACACTCGCTGTGCCATATATTAGAAATCTGCCCAATTTTTTCTACGACAATAATGCATCATAAATGACTAGCTTTGATCAGTTTTAAAATTTAGCAGTGTCACTATGAGATTGGTGGCACTGTCCTGTGTGATAAATAACATGACACTGATGTGTTTACAGAGTACAGTGACAAGATAGGGCGGGTGGTTATAGCCTGGGTCAGTGATCTGTTTGTGACATCTCCAAGTACAAAGGCCGTATCAGTTTGATCAGGTGACCATTCTGTGTGATTGTATAAGACAGGTGCCCTATACAAATTTCTGAATGTTATCTAGAGAGATTTGTGTTGTCAGTCAGCTTGAGAAATATACTCAACTGATAATAGAACTTAACTGCCCAATATTCTGCCTGTTCACAGTCCTTGATGAAGTAGGAGTGCCAGCAGCAGACAAAATAATGTAATTGTGTGGAAAAGGTCTTTTACATTAATTTCTATTGAGATTTAAAAAAATACCTGACGAAACTTTTCAACATGACTGTTATTAAATATAGTACCTTTAAGAATAGGGGTTGAAAGAATAGGGGTTGGTTCAGTAAGCCTCCTCTTTGGTAAAAAACATAAATTATTGAAATAAATAAAAGTTGAATATTCACCACAACAAGTTAAACACCGATTTTGTGTATCCTACTCCTTAAACATTTCACAGTGTCTTGAATGTTTGTGCAATCTCAGAGTTTTCATTATGCTAAGCCTGAGTTTATGATTCAGGACTTTCACTTTCACTTTTTCAAAATGCTGTCATGACTGATAAACATGACAATGACGTAGTTGGCATTTTTCAGACATGATGGTAAGATTACTCAATCCCCACTAACCTCTCGTTAACTTGGCCAGTGATTGTAGAAATGTTAATTGGGTAAAGTTTTCATCTAATTTACTTCTTTTTAATTTCAGATTGTTGGTTTCATCATGATGAGTACTAAAACTCTGGTAGCCATCATTGATGGTATGTACTGCCAGAAGTGTCCCAAAAAGATAGAAGATGCATTGAAAAACAAGAAGGGCATAGGAAATGTGCAGGTAAATATGGCATGATATTTTGTCATGTTACTAGATTTATTATGAATGTTGGTCTCTCTCTCTCTCTCTCNCGATCTAAAATCTATGGGAATAGAGTCTAGGGGAAGTGAACACCTAGGGAGACTGGGCGATGTTAACAACTATGGAGACTGAGAGAAGAAGGGAGACTGGAGGAAGTTAATACCTAGGGAGACTGGGAGATGTTACAGTTTGTAACATCTAGGTAGACTGGGAGAAGAAGGGAGACTGGAGGAAGATAATACCTAGGGAGACTGGGAGATGTTACAGTTTGTAACATCTAGGGAGACTGGGAGAAGAAGGGAGGCTTGGGGAAATTAACTCCTAGATACAGTTGGAGATAGAAAACTTAAGAAGACTGAGGGATATTAACACCTGGGGGACTGGGAGATGTTAACACTTTGGGAGATTGGTAGATGTTTGCGTCCTTAAATAGATAAAATAAAGATATGTAGGCATCACAGCTGCTGACAAACGTGTTTTTACCAAGGGTGTATCTTGACAGCATATACGTTGTGTTGTATTGGCGTAAACCTCGAGGTAACAAGCGTATTCCATATGCACATAAAGTAACAGAATTTTGTCGAAATATGGGTATATATTGATCTACACATGCATATGTGGTCGCTTAAATCCCCAGGTTTATATTTCCATAGCTCAAAAGTGATTGGTTGACATTCAATGAAATTTGAAATAAAGCTTGCCATACCTGTAACATAGGTACATGTAAATTAACGCCAATTGGTAAAATAACCGTTCATAAACAGAATGCCAGATGAAGATATGGATAGATACATAATGTATTTTTTTCAGAGTTGCAGAACTTCAATGGACTGTAGAGACCACAGTGGCCGCACTGTGTGCTGGAGTAAGATGTGCTACAAGAATATCCCTTGTAACAAAGATAACGACTGCTATTTTTACGGTAAGAAAATGTTTTCATATTTTCATCCACTCTCTATTGATAATATTGAGGTATCTCTTTAGATAATATTTGATTTGATATTATCTGCTTAGTTAAGCAATAAATGTTTTGTTCATCAGTCGTATATTCGTAAAAATAAAGAAGGGAAAATCGGGTCACAAGAGAGATTCCATTAGAGAACTCTTTTCGATGAACTAAATAAGACAATCAAGTCACTACTCAGTAGGTATGAGCACTCGAGGCATGCATCTCACGCATGTCTCACATGTCTCACGAACCCCCCAAACAATCAGATATGGTTATTGGCAAAAATAGCTGTGGATAATGACTTGCCTTTCTTCGATGTACAAGTATAAAATGACATTGCTTGCGTCAACATGATGCCTGTCTTTGGGGGAAGCGTGATATTATAAAGCAGAGGATCGCATGTTAGATGATGGCAATGCACACACCATTTTCTAGGAGACCGTTGATTGGATAACAGTGATATGTAAAAGATGGGGTTTTCTTTACTGATGTCCCTATATCTAACTATCTGCTGTTCTCTCTCTGGTGACAGAGCTCTAGACAGTTAATGTCGTAACTGGGACGTGCAGAAAGTGTATTCCACGCTCAGTCATCACCTTGATTGGTCAATGAACATAAATACCACATAGAACAAATTCAGAATACCACTAAAGCTTACATGTGAAAAACGATCAAAATCGATTTAGTATTTTTAACGAATTTCATGAAATCGCCCAATACCGTAGATGTAGGCTAAACTCCATAGAGTCCACACGAACTAAATAATGTCCTTGTGTTGTCGACTGTGCGGAGAATACATTCATTAAAAACTTAAAAATCAATTTGAATGGTGTTTTTTTTAATGATAGACTAGTGTGGTAAATCCTTTTATGTATTTCATGTCGTTTTATTTGGTTTTTAGGTTCATGCAGCAATGGTGACAGCCGAGCGTGTCGTACATGTCTCTCTCTCTCTCTCTCTCTGTGTATGTTTGTGTGTGTTCGAGTACACAGAATACAGTAATTATAAGATATATGCTTATATGTCGTTTGTAGCTGCCGCTGACGTAGCGGAGGGGCACCCACACCCTCTCTGCTTTGACGACACAGACTCCGTTCGGAAACTGCCCAGCGGCTACGGCACGTGCATGATGGCAGAAATTGTTGGTAGGCGGTTACGTCTTTAGTATTTAAATTCATCTTAAGATCTGTATAAGACATGTATAATGAGAACCCCCCCAACTTAGGCTGTTTGAAAATTCTGCGACTCCTACGAATAAATAATTATGGGTTTCATTATTCTTATCAAATTAATAATCAATTGAACTTCAATCTATTGGGAAAGTTTGGAGAAATATTTTAGAATTTAACCAATTTATTGATTCTGATTTTTTCAGGAAACAAGTACGAGCTTCTTAAAGGAGCTCGCCCTAACGCGGCACTTTCCAAACAGCACAAGCCGGACGTAGGGCCGCTAGCTTTCCAGGGGGAATAAGTGGTCTAGTGGACCAATACCTATATTACATCATACAACAAGTTTGGCCCTCTTTATTGGAGATTTTTCAGTACAAAATTTAATATGATGAAAATAAACAATGATGCAAACCCTTTGTGCTGCTTCTTTTTATATTTTGAGAAAATTATTAGAAAATGCTTTATTATATCGGTTCGATTTGTAGTGATACAAGTGTGTTGCACCCATGACGCAAATACCAGGGGATGTTAATCGATGGCAAAGTAGAGATAATACTTACATATTATATATTTAGAGATATAATTTATGAATTTTGGACTTAAATGATCCCCGTAAAGACCTAGGATCCATAATTACATTGGTGAGCAACGGCCTGAAGTTGCATTTTAACAGGGAATTACAGCGTAGTCGTCGATATAATTCCCTGGTTGTAATTAACGCGGAGGTCGCTAGTCATGGGGACACGGCCCTTAGTAGGCAAGAGAGATGGCAAAACAGTTTTAAAAATTCTGAAAACAAAATCAAAAATTTTCATCTCAACAATAGGTATGGCCAGTTTAGAAGTAGCAAAAGTTTTCACTGCCCCTTATGTCATTGGTTTTCTGTTCAACCATCAATACACAATATCAACACAACAGTTCATTGAATTCTGAAAAGATACAGTATAAGTAAACCATGAACAAACTTTTATAAAACTGATAAAGCTTGTTAATAACTTATTTAGTGAGAGAAAGAGATAATCTACCTATACTTTTAGACAAGCAATTATAACTGAATTATTAAAATAATAATAACGGCCTGGAAAGAAAGAATGCATATATGTATATGTAATTATAAATCACAATTCCCGTCATAAACGATCTCTAAAATTAGTTGTAGATAAAAACATCTATGAATAGTCAATCAGTGAAAAGGACATATTTCACGAAATAATACTGCTAGGATGAGCATGATAATTAAAGCCCCTGACAAATCAAAATATCAATACAAAAATATACACAGAGCAATGCTCTCACCGACGGATGCTTCATAATATTGTTAATTTTCTCTTTCTTTAACCGTCTCAATGGACTCCTCTATTGACCACTCTGGACGAACCTGTTGGTGATCTTTTTATTGTACTCTTCTTCTTTCCCCTTTCTCTTAGGACACATCAATTGTACAGATGAATTATGTTTTATCTAATTGTTTTCATATGAAGTTGTGTGGTTCTTCATAATGATCACGTTGGTGCTAAATTAATAAAACTATAATAATGAACGCTCAGTTTCTACAACGTGTCAATCAGCAAAGAAGCTGCACGAAGGGTGTACGGTAATTGCACCGAGTCTGAAGGGGCTACGTATGACCACTGTGTAATCAACAGACCGATTCTCCTGACCTGATCCAGTATTTAAATAATATTTTAATAATGTTGCCTAGGCTTTAGTAAAACAGATTGCTGCACCTGATATTTTCATTTTCCGCCGATTTCATTTATTTTCAAAAATGGAATCTTGAATTTTAAAAAATTGATTTGTGCTTCTAACAATGATTATAAAAATTTCTGCAATAAATGATCTCCGAAGTAAGTCTTAGAATTACATAAAGATCAAATCTGTGTGTAATACAATCGACTGTCAATCTGTTCCCTATGTTGATTAAATTAATGTTTTTTTTTACAAAGTTTCGGCCAAACCTATTTCACTCTTATTGTTCTTTAACTCTTTTTCTTCCTACCTTTTTCTCTCTTGTGCACGTTATTTTTATGCCCCAACATATGTTCTCTGGCTCTTTCGAATGAACAATCTCTGTTAATAAGGGAAATGTGTCATATAGGTTGCGGTGTTTTGATTTTGATGCTGTCTCAACCTTGATTGTGACGGCCTCCACAAATATCACCGTATTGTGTTAGTGAAGACAGAAGGTCAGACGGGAGCTGGGGGATGGGGGCGGGGGATAAATATTTTCTTAAAGAAATGACCTTATAAGTGCTGGTAAATGATAATATGTTTAACTTTAAATCAAATATCGTCAAGGCAACCTATAATCCTCAGCTACCATCTCAATGGACTCCTCTATTGACCACTCTGGGCGAACCTGTTGTTGATCTTTTTATTGTCCTTTATATCTTCCCCTTTCTCTTAGGAGACACATTAATTGTTAAAATGTTTAGACTTTAGTCTTATCCAATTGTTTATATATGAGGTTTTGTGTTTCTTCTTAATGATCACATGGGTACTAAAATAATAAAGATATAAAAATGAACGCTCAGTTTCTACAACGTGTCAATCAGCAAAGAAGCTGCACGAAGGGTGTACGGTAATTGCAGTGAGTCTGAAGGGGCTCCGTATGACCACTGTGTAATCAACAGACCGATTCTCCTGACCTGATCCAAATATATCCAGTATATATCCAGTATATTAAAAAATTAAATAATGTTACCTAGGCCTTAGAAAAACAGATTTCTGCACCTGATAATTTCATTTTCCGCCGTTTTCATATATTTTTACAAGTGAAAGCTTGATTTTTTTCAAAATGTATCAATACTTCTAACAGTGATTCTAATAAATTTGCCATAAACGATCTCCGAATTAGTTCTAGAATTATATAGATATGATATCTGTGTGTAATACAATCGTCTGTGAGGCTGTTCCCGATGATGATTGAATAAACGCCAAATGTTTTTATCAAAATTTCGGATAAATCTATTTCACTCTTATTGTTCTTTAACTCTTTTTCTCCCTATCTTTCTCTCGCGTGTGCGCAAGTTTTTTTCTTTTATTATTATTATTTTTAATGACCCAACATAGGTTGTCTGTGTCATACAAACGTACTAACTATGAGCACATTCAGAACAGCGGACTACCAGAACTGCGGATCAAATATGGCCGACCCATTAAAATGTCACTGCGTAATCCCCGCGAGGAACTTATTCAGTGCCTGATCGGGAATTAAGCGCGGCAAGCTTTTTAGTAGGTCGCCATATTTGATCCGCGGATCTGTTAGTCCGCTGTCCTGAATGCGCTCTATGTGAGTAAAAACCTCGGTCACAACCGCAGGGCCGTAGCCTCCGGGGGGGGAGGGGGGCAGGGGGGGCAGCTGCCCCCCTGGAAATTGGGGTGCAAAAAAAAAAAAAAAATCGCCAAGGTAAAAAAAATAATTGCAAAGTTGGTATCAATTCTGTGAGAAAAGGCACTCATGGCCACTAGACAATCATTCAACAATCTGTTTTCAAAGGTGCACTGTTTTTAGCCAACTCAGTTCATGCCAAAAAGCTCACCCTCCCTGGGGGAGCTATCCCCCAGGCCACTTGGCGTGTTGTGTTGAAAAAATGACTGTAGGGCTACTTATGGCAAAATGAACCCACAATTTCTGACTTCTGATTGACCAATAAAATACAGTTAAAATGCACCAGAATGCAGTAGGGGAGACCGGGGCTAGTTGGCCCAGTAAGACACTTTTGGCCTTGTAGAGCCAACTAGGAATGGGTTAGAGTCACAAAACCGGTTTCAAAGTAAGCCCCGTGGACTAAGCTACGTATGNTTACAATGAATTAAGGCAAAATAAATGTTTTTCTAAGGAAAGTCCAATGGATTTGCTTTCTAATACATACAATCAACAGAACATTTCTAACATAAATTTACGAAAAGACACCAGAGAGCAAATTTAAAAAAATCAATCAGACGGTAAACACCGGCAAGCTTTGTCAATTTCACCAACTTGTTTATTTCAAGAAGTTACAACTTCTTGTTTATTTCAAACAGCGTTGCGCGCAAAGGATTGTGGGTAATATGAGGGTCCAACTTGCCCCGAGTCAAGGGGGCCAACTAGCCCCGGGTGCACATTATTTATTTTAAGGGATGGCAGCCATTTATGGTGCTAGAATGATCAAAGATGATACATTTCTGTGAAACTTGAAACAATGAGCTTCAGTTTGATCCCCTATACTTATATAATATTTGATCAAAAGCCTATGAAAATAGATTTTTAAATCTCTTCAACAAAATTACTTTTAGGTGCAAAAATCGTTTATTTGGACTCACCGCTTAATTAAAACTTTTTAACGGCCGACACTTCCTTAGCATTGTAGGCTACGGTCACTTTACAACAGTATGTGGCCAATTATTTACCTAGTAGTTACTTTTTCAGAAAATGACGGGGGGCCAACTTACCCCGGGGTCCAACTAGCCCCGGTCTCCCCTATTATACATACAGTTTTTAAAAATTTTCCACACCGTGCGAGGGGGACACCCCCTCCCACACCCTCCCCCCTCGGGACCCCCCCCCCCCCGC